GGCTAGGGCTGATTTTATATCCTGCTATTCCATTTTCATGCAGTGCAGAGGATTTTTCTTTCTTCCTTCAAAACAACCCATAAGACAAATAAAATAACTCTTTATCTCGTCAACCCCTAAAATCCTAGAGTTAACACAATTACAGTAAATCTATTATCTTTAAGTGCAGAAAATAAATGTTTTGGACATGAAGTGTACATAGTGCCCTTTAGCAAATCCTGCACCTGGTTTCATTCTCTTTTGTAAGGAAGATGTTTGCTTAGAGTCACAGATGCTACTCTTTATCCTGAAAGCTGTACAGTTATACAGTTCAGGGCTTTTTAGCCAGTTATTTCTGTTTACATTTAAAGTACTGCTTTCTTATTAAGTTGCCACACTGACTTATACTGAAGAAGCAGAGGGTTTAAATTTCTTATTTTACTTATTATTTCTTTTTTCTTTTTAAGAAAACTTTTAAAGAAGCGGTCCTTTCCAATGCTCAAGCCTAACAAAGCACACCTGGAAAGTCACTAACTTGGTGCTTGCTGTGTTTATAGATATTTTAGAGACCATATGGTTTATATCATCCGATGCTATGAATGCTGTGGGGTTTATCCTTTCTATCTCAATCTCCATTATAGCAGGATTTTGCTTGTTTTACAACTTGTTTAAGTGGCGTTCTAAGAAATGGCTGGGCATGCTGATGTAGTGCTTCATAAAGGTAAGAGGTGCCCTGAGAACTTCATTCCATTCGTAGCCAGCAACCTGTCATAGGAAAATTACAGAAAACACAAAAACCAAATATCCCAGCAGACGTGCACCTCTAACAAATGCTTCAGTTTCATACCATTTCACATGGCTCTGGGTAGCTAATAAATGACCTGCACACTAGAAAAAAAATTCAATCAAGGTTCTCCCAGGACCTTTTAGGAAAAGAAAGAAAGCCTCAGTGCTCTTGCAAGGTGCTATACAGAAGGCATTATAATATACATTATTACAGATTTACAAAGGGAGCCTACATCATCCTTGTTATACAACTCCACTGAGTTCAGCAGAGGAATGAATTTCCCATATACTTTAAGGCAGCGTTTCTCAACCCATGGGTTGTGACCCAAAAGTGGATCACAAAAATATATGAAAAGGTCGTGAACAAATTTAAAAAATGGATCAACAAACTTTAAAAAAATGGATTCTCCTTTAAAGGAGAAAAACATTGGAAACTGTGGTGCTTCCCTTGCAGACTAGCAGAGTTCCAGTCTGCAAGGGGCTTCTTGGGGCCCTCCCTGCCCCACATCCTTCCCCCACTGCCTCAGACACACATCCCTGCCCCACACAGTGGAGGACTGGAGCCTGAGGACAGGGGGCAGCTGGTCAAGAGTGTGGGGCACTGGGTTGGGACTGACCATCAATGTTTACAAATGGGTCCTGATTTAAAAAAAAAAAAATTGAGAACCACTGCTTTAAGCAACAGATCCTATTACACCCATTAGGATTGCATTTAGACACCTAGGCTAGGGACAGAAGAGACACATCAACTGGTTTAAGTGATCAGAAACTGGTTTAAACCTGTAACAGAACAGAAGCTCAGTGTACATAAACCAGTTTCAAAATGGCTGAAACTGGTTTAAGAGAAACCTGGTTGAATGAAGTATCAGACTTAACTGATTTGGGTCAAATCGGTTTATGAAACTTCTGTCCCAGCCACCTTCCTGGTTCAAGTTAAATCACAGTCCCCCAGCATGCTTTGCAGCCCTGGGCTGGGCTGTCTGCTCCAGAGAGCAGGGCTGGCCTCACCCCTTTCCTCCCTGGCTGGAGCAGTGAGGGCTGGCTGACCGGGGGGGAGGGGGTGGGGAGGCAAGCCTGGCTGGGGATGCAGCCCATTCCACAGGGTGTGGGGGGGGAAGAAACTGCCCCCCACCCAGGCAAACCCCAGCTGGGGTCTGGAGTCAGGGAGGGGGATTAAATACTCCTTCCCATTCAAACTTACTGCTGGCTGCAATTGTGGGCTACAAATCCCAGAGGAACCTGTAAGCAGGAAGTGATGAGCAACCATGCAGAATCCTGCTACTGTAATTCTGGACTGCAAATCTCAGAGATCTTGGAGGCAGCCAGAAGAGGAAGTAAACTCACAGCCAGAGACTGTGCTCTTGCAGGCATGTGGCTGCATTCCCTGAATCAAAGGTAAATGTCTGTTCACTTCTGTTTCGGTTTACTCTGTGGAGTTTAGATTAACCTGCAAAGAACTGATTCAGCCTCAGGCTTTTTGACTGTCTGTACCCAGCCCTAGTCTACCCTGAGCCAGTCTAAAAAAAAAGCATTACAGTAAAAGGTAGGTGGGTCACAATCCTTATTTCCACTTCTTAGTGACTCATTCTTATGGCTCAGATGAACATATCTTATAAAAGTAAATGCATTGTTTTTTCAGAGACTCAAGCAGGATGGAATAAGATCACACTTAGGTACCCAAGTATGCTCTTGAGGCCTACGTGGTGGAACAGAATCTGCCCTTAGCAACTTTCCTTAGCTCAAACACTAAATTGGGGATGACATGAGAAAGAAACTCCAGGATTTTTTATTCCTAGCCAACCAAAGTCATGTTTTTACTGCAGTAGCCCCCAGAGGAACAGGTTCCCTCTCTCCGGGTAGGTTTCCACTGCATGCCGGGCACTCTTAGGAAGGGATGCTCTCAAGCACAACCTTCTCATTGGCTCCCATTCACACACACCATCCTGCCAGTGCCGCTGTCAAGATCTCTAGTGTGCTCAAGAAGAGTTACTATGGGTTCCCCTTTGGGGTTTTCATGGCCACATTTCTGGGTTTGGAATATGCAAGTGGGAGTGGGTGGACAGGGTATGCTTGAAAGAGGAGTACCACATTCTTGATGTTCCTGGGATGTAGTGTAGACATACCCTCTGATATCCAATGGGGCTTTTCCCTCTTCCTTTCTAAACCAGTTTAATTAAGAACTTCTATCTCATCCACCCCTGCACACCTCCTGCCAGAGTTTACTGTACTCCTTATTACTCTGTTAGTTCTTTTTTTTCAATTCTGCAGTTTTATTATGAAAATGCTGAGAGCAGCCAGAGCATTCTTGGCAGAGGCACTTTAAGAGCAAAACTTTTATTATTTCAGCTCAGATGTATCCTTTTACTCATAAATATATGGTACAAGATCCTCCTATACTAGAGGAATAAGTAGGGGTTGGATAAGAATCTTGATTCACAGATTTTACAGCTAGAAAGGATCATCAAATACAATCAGGTTCAAATCAGGTATTAATATATTTCTGAAAGCTCAAAAAGCCACAAGTAGTCTTTTACTATTTCCCTAGGCTTCAACAATGTTAAATGGCCTAGGATCTTTCATTTCCTAGCCTATCCATGCAGCAAAGCAAGCAATGGAACACTGCAACCTACACTTTCCTTCACTTCCTCATTTTGTGAATCAGGTCAGACATCTTTGATCTAGACTGTTTCCTGAAGAACAAGGACTTCCATTTATCAGGCCTGCTGTAGCCCTAAAATGGAACAAAAAGCTAGAACAAATCTCGTAGAAATTCCAAGCAATCTGGTTTTAAACACCTCGAATGACAGAGAATTTGCCACCAACCTTGATAAGTGTTCCAGTGGCTCACTGTTGTCTCTGAACGCACACTTTATTTGCCCAGAGTGAACAAACAGTATTGCCATTATCCCAGAATATTTTGAGGTCATGGGACAGTCAGATGGTAAGTATATTATAAGTACACCCATGTTTTTTGAGGTCTTTCAGCAGCTCTTGAAATAAATAAGAAAGCTACCATGTCTACATACAATAGTTTATTCTGTGTTTGGAGGGGGGGGGTGTAGGGGGAGGGAAGAATTAAGCATGCAAGAAAGAGATTTTTTTTAATGTATTATATCATGAATTATTATCATTAGTAAGTTCAATTTGTAAATGCATATTGTCACTGGGTCTTAATACTGCTATATTATGCGGCTGTCAAAAATAAGTTGGTCTTAGCCAAGATAGAGTTTTACTCTGGGGGACAGCTGGAGCCAGCAGACCAAGAAAAAATGTATTTTAAACATTTTTCATGTTTCAAGGAACCTTTATGTCCCTGACTGCTGAGAAATACAAGCCATACGATTAAAACAATATCGACTTTTAAATGCTAACCCCAAATCCAAATGCCAGGTCTAAATTTTCCTCACTTTGTTTAGACCTCCTTTTCAGACCAGAACATTACAACCCAGACTCATTATTTTTTTATATAAATGAGAATCAATTTGCCAGTAAGCCAGGAGGAATATTTAATTTCCAAAGGTTTTATTAATGTCTGTACACCCACTAACATGTGCTAGGTGAAACATGCACTGTTATTGTCCATATTTACCCCTTCTTCTGTTTTGGACGTTATTTCCAAATTAAGTAACCAAGTCTCAAGATAGTGCTGTATTAACTAATATCAATCTTAATTTTCATATTCCTCCATGAGCTCTCTGTTCCCAGGGTTTGGCTTTCCAGTACTTTCTCAGATGGCAACTTCAAACACCTGCATTAGTTGGTCTTAGCCAAGATCAGTGGTGTTTGCATGGCCTACTTCATCTGGTGGCTAGGGTGAGTCTAAACACCATCACAGGGTCATAAAAGCTTGAAACATACCCTAACACTCTAATCAGTCTCTGATGATTGAGACACTATTCCATATCATTTTGTTTGATCCATACACAGAAAAAATACAAAATGTATTTTATCTTTAAATATAGAAATAAATATCAGGCATTAAAAAGAATACACAAATCAAGTAGCCAACTAAATGCCAGACTCCCCTCAAAAAAAAAAAAGGACAATCTCCTCCTTTTGAAGGAGCTCCCAACTTCTCCACCTTCTTCCAAAATTCCTCCACCCCCTCCCAAAAAAATCTTCAACACACACCACCACCACTACCACCCCTCAAAAAACACCTACAAATACATATCCTTCCAACTGTATTTCTTCGTGCACTGACAACATTAGTACTCAAAAACAAAATATCTTACCAACTTCAGTCATGTAGGATTTTCCATCTGTGGGCAAAGGAATATATTGGTTGGAGTAGAAGCTACTTCCATACCCCACAATGAAACCTTCGAGTTTGGTGTTTGGATTTGGCCGAAGATATTTCATGCAAATGGTGTCACCAGTTGTGTTAATCTGCACTTTCAGACTTTGTCTCTTAACTGGAGAGAAACAGGGAGGAAAAAAAAAGATCAGGAGTTATCATCTTCCAAATGACTAATGAAAATTAGAATACACAGTGGCTCAATATGTTAGTAGTGACAATTGCTGTTAAAAGATACCATCATGTTGAAATCTAGTTTATTTTAAAAAAATGTCTTTTATAACCACAATTTTTCTTTGCCTATCTCCTTTCTTGCAGTGGGAAAGATATATAAACAAACTAACAGGGGAAACTGTATAGATCACTACATGCTGACTACTGTCAAAATGCCTGAAGTAAACTGAAAAAAAAGTGAAAGTTGTCTTTTCCTTTAAATTACTTCACTTATATTGGGTGCCACTTTACAATGATAGGTGGCAAAATTTCCAACAGAAGTAAATAAGCATGAATTCTGAATTGAGTGTAATCTTTTCATATTGGGCTGTAGTATTAGAAAAGTGTTTCTGGCAAAGAATCAGTAACAATTATATCCAGTTAAAATTATAGCAGGGGGGTTTTTAAGTAGACAAAATGCAATTTTCTAGTTATAATGACGCCAGAACACCTAGACTAACATACTTACTCTAGCTAAATATACCGCAAGACAATACTCTATTTCTGAGCTTTCCAAGGGAACAATACAGATAATGGGAAACATCATTATGTACACTCACTGCAATTTAAATTATAGCAGTATAGAGCATCGTGACATTGTCATCACGATATGAACTTCATAATGGAACTAGCTGTTTCACCAGCTGTGATTATAATTGTCACTCTCTTGGTAGTAGGGGATAGAGTTAATATTTCGGCTCTTCGTGGGTGGCATGTGATTTTGTTCTTCGTTGTTATCTTGGCTATATTTCCAGCAGAATCAACCCCCAGGTGTTCAAAAAGACTGAGTCACAGATCCTCCCAAAGTCATGTGATTGGCTTAAAAAGTAGAGGGGTTTATGTCTTTTGAACCTTTGCAGCACACTTAAAGCACATTGAGTGCTTTAAAATATGGCTTGAGTGTGCCCCAAAGGTTCAAAAGATATAAAAACCCTTACTTTTAAGCCATTCTCATGACTTTGGAAGGGATTATGACTAAGTCTTTTTGAACACCATGGGCTCCCTGCTCCCCCATCTCCACATGCCACTCCACGGCTGGCTGGGGAACAAGATGCCTCAGCATGGGGGCTGCCTGCCAGCAAGCCCCGCATTGAAACACCCTGTGCCTCAGCCCGCCTCCCTCCTCTCCCCCCACAGCACACAGAGCCGTGCCAGGAGGAGCTGGGCATTCAGGCTTTGCCCACAGTAGGATAATGTGTCCTGCAGCAAAAGGCACATGTAGAGGCATGTGCTTTAGCACAAAGTAGCAGCACAAATTTGTGCTGCTACTATTTGTGCCACTGAAAGTACATGCCCCTGCTTGTCTGGATGCGGCCAGAGTGTCAGGTCTCTTGTCAGCTCTCTTGAGCCCCAGTTCTATGCCCTGTCTCCCTGGCTCTGTTTCTTGTTCCTAGAGCTGGGGCCTGCCCCCTTGTAAAAGAGACCTGCTGCACCTCAGACATTTTCATCTCCAATGCTCTCAGTGTATCAAAGCAAGAAATGATGCGTCCCATCACTAAGGCAATATCCATCCAACCCTTTACATTTGGGATGAACTAATAAGTAGGAAATTACACATTTTGAGCTGCCTTGCTCCATATCATCATCACGTACATTAATAGGTAGCGTACCACTATTGAAACAGAGCCTGCCTACCACCAAATAGGGAATAGATCACTCAAGAAATATCCAGTTCATTTCTCTCCCTCTATAGCATTCACTTCTGCCGCTGTTGGAGGCAGAATAGTGGGCTTGATGGACTATTGGTCTGACCCAGTATGGCACTTATTATGTTCTGACTATCACATGATGGGTGTTGGCTTGAAAACAGTATTTAAAGGTCTGTTTTTTGGGAACTGGCTTGTAGGTATAGATATATGCATTATAAGGGGTCAAGATGGGGAGCAGGGGTTAATTAGATTTCTAAACAGCTTGGGTCTGACACACAAAGCTTCTCATAGCCTTAGAAGCAGACGAACTGTCTAACACAACAAGGCCAACAAATGGACACAGCCTAAGAATTGAAGGGGGCATGCCATAATACGAGATCACAGCCTTTAAGGCAAACAGGTTGTCTACCACAACAAGGACACAAAGCCTGGGAACTGAGGAAGTGTGTACCATACTGTCCCATAACATGAGATAAGTGACACTGGCAACACAGGCCTCAGAGAGCAGGGGGACCCAAGTCTCGGTTTGGGGGAACAGACCAAATTAGGAGAAAGCCCAGAAGGCTATGTGGACATGTGACCACAGAGAGACAACCAACCAGAGATAGCCACAGATGAAGAGTCATAAAGAGGGAAGGAGAATACAAAAGCAGAGACTTGAGATTAACCAGGAGTCCCTTCCTGTCCCTCCTTCTCTTCCTCCTTGTCCCTCCCCATCCTGCTCCTTGAGAGGGGTCCCCATTTCTGTCCCCATCCCCATCCACCAGGAAGGGTCCCTGAGGCCACCATGGACCGAGGGCATACCAGCAGCCCATCTCATGCAACCCACTGGAGGGGAAGTCATGGGCCTTGGCATTCCACCTCCAAACTGCTGACATGCTGTGCTGACCAAAGAAAGAGCCTCAGAAGTGAAGCCTTGACTCTGATGTACCTCAGAAGTGAAGCTAGATGTACCTTGACTCTGATGACAGTTCTAGGATTGGTAGATATAGAATTGTTTGATTGTCTGTATTGTTGCTTTTTTTGTTATTACTCTGTATCAATGAATTCATCTATTATCAACTGGCAGGTGTTGTGGTCAGTCTGAGGGTTCTGCTCACCCAGAACAAAGGTATAAGGGCTGGGTTTCTAAAATCCAGTGTCAACAGTGGGTACATGCTTTACTCTCCTAGAAAATGCTCTTGTTACGTGACTATAAAACCAATTCCTTGAGGTCAGTCCTTGTGTTAAGTAAGAGAAGTAATAAGATCAATTAGGCCATTTCTATTTCCGATAAGAAGGGGTTTAATATATATATATATATTAGGAACAAAGACACCTCGGTCCTGCATAGAACTGCTGTTCTATGCAGGTGATAAAATTATAGTGATGCAGAAAAAGCAGAATAACCTATAGATATTTCTGATCTGTATTTGGAACAAACCATTAGGATGCCTTCATCCTGTATAATGCTCTTGCATAAATATTAAGCATTATGCTTTAACAAGTATTCTTATATACCTTTTGTTGCAAATTTGAGCATGTATTTTATAAGTTAAGACAATTCCAAGAGAGTGCCAGTCAGTAGATCAGGCAGAAACAATGAATGGTTACCACAACAAAAAATTATTTCAAGAGACAGAGTATTTGACAAATAGCCAAAGAAGGCTCACTTGACCTAAATGATGACCAGCTGGCAACACTGCAATGATTATTATGTTTGAGTCTCTGTTTTTACTTTTTACAACACACACTAATAAAACTGAATATGATAGCAATGCTATTGACCTTAAGTTAAAATTCCTTTAAAGAAATTATTCAGTATTCATGAAGAAGCTGTAAAGTTGTCCATGCATTTGCAGTTGTAGAGTTCCTGCTTTGCATTAAGACCCTCACTAAATATAAGATTCTTGGGCCAACAGCTACTTCTGAAATCTCATCCGCCCATCTTAGCTTCCCATAACAATACCCTGCTGATCTGAAAATATTCAGTGTACTAGAAGAGTATTGATGGCCAAAACCAGCATGACAAATAGCGCATACCATAGCTGGGCTAAACCTGCACCTTAAGAGAAAATTGTTGCACATGTGATACAGGAAAACATTTTGGGGAGAAAACGCTCTATATGTAAGATAAAGATATTTGGAAGGCCATCTCAGTGCAAACAACTACACTATAAAGGAGCCAATTAGTGGTAATTCTTTGGAAAGTGCATGCAGCCCAAAACAGTCTGAGGAAACCGCCCAGGAACACCATTAGGTTGACTAGTTGGAAAAAAATAAGCATTTGGAAATCAGCAGCAGAGGCCAAGAGCTACATGAATGCAACTCCCAAAAAACCCTAACTAAATGTTTCAAACTTATGCATCTTTCTCTGACCTGGCAAAACTACAACTAAAATAATGTTCACTTGGATCCAGACAAAGTTGTGACGAGTCAGGGTGAGGTACAGGAGAAAGGGAGTGCTATTTGATTTGTGTTATCCCTCACTGGTCTTAATCTACAGAGTAGGGGGTCTCTTGAAGGCAGGTGAGATCTGGCAGCACCTAACCTCTCCCATTCCAGTGAGAGCTCTCACTACTGATTGATATGTAGCTACTTATTTGATTTTTTTCAATCTAAACCTCCATAGTAAGTAGTAAGTCAGACCTCTCCATGTTAATGTGAACTCTCAGTCCAGAAAAGTAGTAAAGAAAATGCAAGGTAGAGTTCCTAACCACTAAGGAAGCTTCCATTTAATTTCATCACTGATCTATATGTGGAAAGACATGAGAAGCCAAATTCAGAATACAGCCATCTGGCTGGTGTCATGAGGCATCAAAGCACATTGATGCCTTGCTTGGACACAATGCAATTTCCAATATTGTTGGCAATTTGGAGATCTGTCAAAGTGTTTGTTTCCTGGAGATGTAACTATGAAGGAACAGTGCCCTTTTCAGTCACTTAGCAACACAAAATCAACAGCGTAAAATTGTGCATTGGGTGATCCAGTGCAATATTACTGTTAATAACAGGTGCAGTTTTATCAGCCAAGAATGGAAGCCAGCATGGTGGAGAAATGAAAAAAGTAACATACAGCTCAGATTAATTTCTAAAGGTCTGCTCTGTCTGAATTTTGTGTTCATGACAGCCTATATAGAAAAGCAATCTGTTGCATTTTATAGTACCCTTTATCATAGTACGTTTATGAATATTAACTGAGTACCTCAGTAATCCAATGAGTTAAGAATTATAGAAATCAAATGGACCTACACTGAAATTCAGCTTCTTGATGAAA